CAGACAGAAGGATGGGCAGAGGTCAGCTCTTGGCACCTGCCACCCCATCCAGACTCAGCGCCACCCTTCACCGGCCCAATAAACCTGGTCTCGGATGTCATCCCGCAGTTCCACCAGGATCTGGTTGAAGAGGGTGAGCTGGGTGACCAAGGCCTTGGTCTGCTCCCCTGTTAGGGTGCAGGGTGCAGAAAGGCTCAGAACTGGGGCACCAGCCCTGACCCCTCTCTGGGTAATAAGCCAGTGCTGCTGCCGTTGCCCACCCCCCACCTTTAAATCCCACCCCATTCCTGAAGTCCTGAAGAGGACTTCATTTCAGGCTGCTGTATCTCCTTCCCACCCTCATGCCCCTTCATCTTGGCATGGCCTACTCACCTAGGATGGAGTGGAGTGCGTTGGTCACTAGAGAGGACAAGAAAACACAGAGGGTGGAGATGTGAGGAGGGGCCTGGCTGGTTGAGGAGAAGGAAGGAGAAAAGGGCTGGTGCCTTGAAATAAAGATGTAGTATGAATGGTAGGAGGGCAGTGGTGATGGGCCAGTCCCACCAGCTCCTTCCACTGGATGAGGGTCCCTCTAAGGGAGCTGCCTCACAGTTAAGACCCAGATCCTCCTGTTTCTAGGCATGGTTGTGGCAGAAGGGATCCAAGTTAGAGGTGACCTGACACAGGGCCAGGGCCCCAATACATTCCATTTCCTCCCTCTCAAGCTTCTACCACAAGAGCTCTTTGAAATATCTGGGAGAAGTGGACATTTTATTTACTTAAGAACCTCTGAGTATCCTTGTCAGAGAGACCAGGCAGATGAGAAATGCTTAGAGAAACTGCTGGTAGGTGATAGATGCCAGTGGGAACTAAAAAAGACCCTTAGCTCAGTCAACCGAGAAAGACCAAGCCACTACCTTCCTTACCCCCACTCAAAGGTCTTCAGAGTTATACTCTTTTTTTTTTTTTTAATCTTTCTATTTTTCTGGCCACCCTGATAGGCAGGATGACCTTAATGGAGATTTTGTTGACCTGTGCCTTCTGGAAATGTATTATTTGGAGATCACAGAGTCAGAGGTGAAGGAGATTTGGGGTAATGGAGTCAAGAAGCCCCAGGAATAGATGAGGAATAGGTGAGCCCAAAGAACTGGTGTTAAGGGGAAGAAAGGTCAAGAGGATGGAAAGTATCAAAGATGGCAGGACTGGGGTCCAGGATGCCAGCTCACAGAAGCATGTGTTACCTGCACTGTGGATGGACTCGTCTCCCTGGAATGGACACTCACTCAGGGCTCCAACCCGGGCCATGGACCCACCCAGAATCATTTTCATGGATTCCACGAAGCCCTGGGGGGGAGAGAAACATTGTCATGGGGGAGGACCTACCAACTCCTCCTCCCACCGGTGCAAACTGTTCACCGACACTCAGAGGGTCTTCCTTTTCTGCTCACCTGCATCCTCAAATAAGCCTTCTGTCCAGTCCTAATCTCCAGCCCACTGACCTCTGCTGGAGGAATGGGGGCCAGTGCCGGAAGTCCAGCATGCTGGTCGCCCAGTTTGCAGTCCACATAGAGCTGCAGGGCAGGGCTGGGTTTGGACGGACCTCGGAGTCGCAGGAGAGCCGTGTGTGTGCGCCCGTCAGCCAGGCCTGCTTGCTGGAGGTTCACTGCATGCACTTTGCCATCCTCCCGCTGGTACCGCACCAGCACTGCCCAGAAGGGGAGGTCAGTATGCGCACTGTCCCCCGTCCCCTGTCTCCCAGCTGAGCCTTGGATCAGTTCTTCTGAATACCACATCTCTAGGGCTGTCAGTGCTTACTCAGCTATCTCTCAATACCTTGTACATAATAGGTACATGAAAAATGTTTTTCAAATTGATTCAACGACTAGGACTTTCTTAGTCTTCAGTGTCATCGGATCACTCTGTTCTCTATCCTTCAGTGTCATCAGATCGACCTATCTATCCATTACCACTCTATCATGCCATCTGATTACATGAGGCCACTCTATCCCCTGCTAGGATGGCAACTGGTTCCGTACCCCCTGAACTGTTCCAGGGATCTAAGAGACCTCTATACCACTGCTGGGGCACAGAGACAAGCCTCCACTCCCCCCAGACATCCCACATACAACTCCCCACAGCCACAGATGCCTCACCCCATTTCTTGGGTGCCTGGCCTCCTGAGGCACCTCCTAAGCACCAGGTGCCCCTGGAGCCTGGACATAGCCTGATGGGTCCTCAGTCCCCAGTGGAGCCCAAGGAGAATTAAGAGGGCTCAGAATGGGGATGAGGAAGAGTGCTCAGAGGGGTCATCATTGCAGGAAAGGAGATGCCCACTAGTTACCTTTGTTGATCTTGCCGACGACAGAGGCCTCCAGCCATCGTGTGTTGTCCTGGCGAGAGTAGAGGCCAAAAAGGACACCACCCTGCTTGGGGGGCAGGCGGAAGGTGGACAAGAGATAGATGTCCCCAGTGGTGAGCAGGGCGGTCCGGATCTTCTCCACCACAGCTATCATCTGCCGGGACTCGCCCACCGTCAGCAGGTCGATCACTGGCCAGGCAGGGATGATCAAGGTCAGAGCCCTGTCAAATGCTAAGGCCTGCCCTCTCCTCTGAGCCTTCAGGGGTGGGGCATCCGTTATCCCCACCCCATAGTGTTCACTACCCCTTGAAATCCAACCCTTGTAGCTATCAGAGGACAAGGCATTGGGCCTCCCTTACTGCCACTCTGGGAACCAGCAGGCCTGAGGCTCACTTGAAAATATAGAAACAGAACCCCACAAACTTGAGATGCTCCCACCAGGTGGCGCAAAGGAGTCACTGTGCTGATCTCCGGCAGAAGAAGCACCTGGTGCCCACAGCACAGAAACGGGAAGGCGGTTTCTCTTTGCACCGCTGGGTTTGGCTCATCCCACACTTCAGTGCCCCTCCTCCCATCCTGGGGGTTCAGCGCACTCGGCCTAGATGAGAACAGCTGCCCACTGAAGGCTGTGACCCTCCTACTGTCTGGCTCTCTCCCACAGGAACGTAGGACCCAGCTCCTCTGCCTCCTGTGTCCTGGCCAATCTGTGGTTTCCCTTCCAGCCAGTAAAGAATCTGTGCCTGTGTCATCTGCTCCAACTACCTCTCCCACACCCACAGGCCCATCCCACCACCAGACCTCCAGGAGAGCCCAGACCTCTTGCTCCCCACCCCCACCCTGTACTTAGGCAGCCAGGCACCCAGGGGTGGAAGAAGCCCACCTCTGAGCTGCTCTCCCAGACCCTGAGGTGCCTGGGGATGCTCAGACACCAACCCAGCCAGGCAACCCGAGCTAGCATCCAGCCCCTGAGTCCTCTGCCCTGGCCTCATGCTGACCCTGGCCAGCTCCCACTCATCCACTACCTTCTAGTGTCAAGTCCTCCCCCACAGGGCCATAATTTCATCAACTCTTCCCTCCGATTCAATTTCAGGACTCTCCCCTCTCCTTTTGCCCACATGTTCCCTGCTAGTCGGCTGGGGGCAAATGGGGAGGAGGCAGAGAAGGGGCTAAGAGGATTGGTACAGGCTTACCCTGCAGGTCCTGACTGGCAGACGCGAAAGTGCAAAGGAGGAGAAGAGCCAGGGCCCCCCGAAGTTCCTGTGTCTCCATGCCGCTCAGCCGGCTCACTACCCCTGGCAGGCAGGCGGCTGGGAGGGGAAAAGGCTAGGCGGAGAGCAGGAGCGGGGGGCGGAGGGACTGGAAGGGGGAGTTGAAGGGGGGGGCCCGGCAGGCGGTGAGGGGGGGCTGAAACAAAGAGCTGCCAATCACCCTGGAGACATCCCCAGCCCCGGGAATCAGGGGCACGGGGAAACGTCCTGGAGGCCTCCTAACCTCCTGCCGCTCCCTGATGGTGCTCTCCCCCAGGTGCTTCCCTTTCTCCGCATCTCCAGGCATCTCGCTGTTGGGGGCTGCTACCGAATGCTACTGTTTTCTGGAAGCCACAGTTGGGGAAGGCAGGAACCCTTGGCAGGGGTAGTGTCAGACAGTGGGCATTATTCCACAGCTGGCATGAGAGAATTCCAAGGGAGTGGCCGAAACTAGCTTGCTATAGTGCCCAGGGGATGTCCGTATGGAATGAAGTTTGCTGCTCGGATAGAGCAAGTGCTCTTCATCAGGATGGGGGGTTGGCGGGGGTCCCATGACTTGTGCTTCTACCTCCATCTTCCCCTCACTCCTAGGAAAGCTTGGAGTCTGGAAGCGTCCGGTGGGAACTGGAGGGAGAGCCTAAAACAGTGGTCAGTGAGGCTGGAGTGAAGAAATCAGGAAAGAGGAAAGGGACACCAAGGACAGAAGTAGACCAGAGGACCGGCCAGGGGCCGGGGGCTAGACTGGGAACACTTGGGGGTACTGGCGGACAGGCCGTGACCCGGATGAGGTGGAGGGGCGCCTCAGTTCCCGTTACCAAGGCAACAGCCCGCGAGCCCCACCTCCCCTCCCCCCACACACACAAGCCCCAGCCCGGCCTCGCTCCGGCCGCCGCCACCGCCCCTGTTTTGTTTCCATGGCAACAAGAGGCGCGGGGCTGATTCCAAACATAACGCGCTGTGGAAAACATGCGGCTCGGGGGACCCCCCCCGCCGCAGCCCCCGCTCGGGGGCCGAGCCCTGAAGGGCCCCAGAGCAGCCCAGACGTCTTGCTGATTTGCGAGAGCCCCCAGAACCCGTCATGGAGCACAAAATCCCCTTCTCCTGCTCCCACCGCGTCCTCGGGTGTTCAGGGCGCCCCTCTATCGGGGTGCCCTGATTCTCCAAGGCGTGGAGGGCTGAGGATCCTTCCCCCCTTCGGGAGGCACCTCTGGATCAGACGGCGGCCGCCCTCCCCAGAAGCCCTCGGCTCCGCCCCACGCCGTTTTCAGGCCGCCTCTCGGGCCTGGACAAGCCGCGCCCTCCTGACAGCCTCCCCTGGGTCCCGACCAGGATCTGCCGAAAGGGAGGGGGGCGGATCCACACAGTGGAGGGCTGAAGCACAGGGGGAGGTGCTTCCGGGACAGAGGGCAGGCAAGATGGCGGCGCCCATGGAGCTGTTCTGCTGGTCAGGGGGCTGGGGGCTGCCGTCAGTGGACCTGGACAGCCTGGCCGTGCTGGTGAGGGGTGGCGCCGGCGCTCTCTGCTGCGCCCTGGAGGACTGGGGAGGGGGCCGGACTAGCCGGTCATCCGAATTTTGCCAGGGTGCCTCAGTACGGGCACAGTGGGGTAAACTGAGGCAATCAAAGAGCGTGCCTGGCCGGTATGAACCCTGTACGGTGCCTTGGTAGCCTAGGTTTTGTTTAGCAATGGAAAGAGGCCTGGTCGGGGGTTCAGAAGATGAATTTTAGTTCTTAAACATCCATTTACTGGCTCTGTGACCTTGGGGCAGTCCCTTCTCTCTGGGCGCCGTTTCTTCATCCGGAGGTTTACAAAGGCTGGATGATCTCAAGGTTCTCCGGCTTGGCATTACTGCCTTCTCCTCAATCTCCTCTTCCTCCTTCTCACTCAACGCCATTTACTGAGGTTATTGTTTATTGAACCAAAAGGCCCACCCACAGCTAAGGCTCTGTAGAAAGAGCTTTATAACTAGTTTGACTCATTCACTCACTTTCATTTTCACTCTACTCATTTCAAGGTATTAGGCCTCTTCCAGATACCAAACATTGGCATCCAAAGATGAAGAGCATTTGGCCCCTCCCCTGGAATTGTTTACATAAAGTTAGAAACATCAGCAGACAAGTGTAATAAAATGTTCAGATGCTAAAGTATAAGTAGGAACAGACCAAACAGACTGCCCAAGAAGGAATGGCCAGTGCTTCCGAGTGAGGCTAGGTGTTCACCAGGTAGATGGCAGGAGAGGATATAAGAAGGAAGGGTTTTCCTGGCTGATTTGCAATCAGGGACATGTCCATAAGGTCTCTAAGCCCTGTGTTTGCCTGTTGTAAAATGGGAACAATAATGTCTACCTTTTTCGTGTGAAGCAATCCCTCAGTGTAGAGCATAGCACAGAAGGTATTCAATAAATGTTATTTCTCGCCTTGATTCCCCTGTGTGGGCCATGTCCTTGGCCTCTCTGCCTTCTGCTTCCTTTCCTGCAGACCTATGCCAGATTTACTGGTGCCCCACTCAAGGTGCACAAGATCACCAACCCCTGGCGGAGTCCTGCAGGTACCCAATGTTCTGGGGGTGAGGAAGGGGGTGTACCAGGGGAAGTGCCGCCTACAGACAGGGTGTGTTGTGTCTATGTGTGGATAGGTGGCTAAGGGTCTGGTGGACATACTTCTTTCTCAATGTCAGGAACTCTGCCGGCCCTTCGGACCAGTCATGGAGAGGTCATCTCAGTACCACACAAGATCATCACCCACCTTCGAAAAGAGGTAGGTGGTTTGGGTAGGGTGACTGCCAGCGAGAGAAGTTGAGTCAGTTCAGTGCCACACACATTTATTGAGTACCAAGTGTATGCCAAACCAGATGCAGGTGACCCAGGGCTTCAAGGGGCATGTAGTCTCGTGGAGGCGACACAGACATGTTGCTGTGATGCAGTAGGCTAGAAATTCAACTAGGCCACTGTCAAGACAGCTGGAGGCACAATGCTTTCTGCCTGCCAGGCAGGGAGGGAGAGATGAACAGGCTGTTGACACATGGAAGGGAGAGTAGGAAATAACAGATGAAGCCCTCAAAGATGAGACCAGTGACGGGGGGGTGGGGGTGGAAGATGAGATCAGAGAGGGATTTCTAAGGGCCGTTGCTCTTTTTTCAGGGACCAGGTCAGGCTTTATAATATGGGGCTCAGGATGGACAAGGCCAAGTACCACGATGGGAAAGTTGAAAGAGCATTAGAAGAAGACTAGAGAGGCCCAGGCTGTGCTTTTCACTCTGTCATTGGCTATGTGGCCACCTTGGGCAAATTGCTTAATCTATCAGAGCTGTGAGCTTATTTGTAAGACCAAGGGCTTAGCCAGGATACTTTTTCAGGGCTCTTCCAGCTTTCATGGTCTGGTTCCAAAAGGGAACATACTGTCAGAAGTAGACCCCTCTTATTCATTTCTACTTTCCCAAAGGTGGAGGAACTGGGGAATTAATGGAGGCTTGAGAGGAATGGAGAGAAGGGATCCAGGTAAAAGCTAAAACTCCTGGCGGGACTGGGCCACTGTTTCCTTGTATATGAGCACAGCTTTCCCTGTTTCTAGTTTTCTCCTACCACAGCCATATTGAGAGAAAGATTATTACCCCTATACCATGGAGGAGAATGAGGCTCAGAGAGGTTTAACGATCACACTCAAGAGGTTACTTGGGGACAAAGTTTACTCAGGATGTGGAGGAGGGCGCTGAGGAGCAGACACTGGACCTAGGAAGGTGTGGCAGGCTGAGACCTGGGGGTATGGTTGGAATGTGTGTGTGGTGGTGGCGCCTGGACCATGGAATGAAACAAGAAATGGCCAAGAGCTGAGCATTGAGAGAACAAGCCAGAGAACCCTCGACATGGGTTCACTGGGTCCCGGGAGCATGAGGATGGCGTCCCCTAGTTTCTGAAGCATTGATTAAGGCCCAACTTGCATCTGAGCTCTGCTCTGCTAGTTTTGTGGTGTCTGGATTGGGGAAGTTACTGTTAGAAAGTTGCCGTCAGCAGGCATCCCGCCAGCTTTCCGTGGAAACTCTGGGAGCTGCTCCTGGTTTGTGGCTGGGCCTTCCTTCCTCCCCCCAGTGGGCGCGGGACCTTGACGGCCAGCAGGCTCCAAGGTCCAGGCTTCCCGCCAACAGCAACAGGCTACTGACTGGGCCCAGGCGAGGGGGCCTCCGCAAGAAGAGCTCCTTGCTCTACCTCTGCTGCGCTCAGAGGTCAAGGTGGGTGGTGCCAGTCAAGAGGCCTCCCTCCTTGAGGAGGTGTCCCTGCAGTCCCCCAGCATCCACTTCTCACCGTGGACATTTCCTCCACAGAAGTACAATGCCGATTACGACCTGTCAGCCCGGCAAGGAGCAGACACCTTGGCTTTCATGTCTTTGCTGGAGGAGAAGCTGCTCCCAGTGCTGGTGAGTGCCCAGGCCTACACAGAAACACACACACACCCCCAGCGTGGGAACCAGAATCCCACCCTGGGTCAGGCAGGTGCAGTGGCTCAGACCAGCCTCTTCCTTCCTACATACCCAATGCAGATACATACTTTTTGGGTAGACGCCAAGAACTATGTAGAAGTGACCCGGAAGTGGTATGCAGAGGCTATGCCCTTTCCCCTCAACTTCTTCCTGCCTGGCCGCATGCAGCGGCAGTACATGGAACGGCTGCAGCTGCTGTGTGGGGAGCACAGGCCTGAGGATGAGGAGGAGCTGGAGAAGGAGGTATGTCTGGGACAGGAGGGTGTTGTATGACAGGAGCCGCCAGGATGATGGCGGAGGGGGCAAGTGCCTGGGAGGGGAGGCGGTACCCACCCCGCAGCCGCGAGCCGACCTTGTGTCCTCCCCATAGCTATACCAGGAGGCCCGAGAATGCTTGACTCTTCTCTCTCAGCGCCTGGGCTCTCAGAAATTCTTCTTTGGAGATGCGTGAGTCTCACTCCAGGGGAGTCATAGGTGGCTTGGAAGAAGATAGAGGTTCAAATGTAGCCACAGGGGCTAGGGTGGGGGCTCAAGCTCTGGACAGGAGGTGCTCGGCACAGACACTGTGTCTGGTGAAGGTAGGGCTGTGTGTGGGGCCGGAGCCGCCTCAGTGGTACAGGAGGGTGGGAGGGCCGCCAGGCCCAGGACAGGCCTGCTGAGCTGTGGGGCACTCAATGTGCCCTTTATGCAGCCCTGGGATAGAGTCCCATTCAAGGCCAGGCTGGCGCCACCTGGGGCACTTTCCCCACACCAGGACCAGAGCCATGTGTCCTCTTCTCCCCCGGTGGTCCCCCGCTGCCCAGAGCCTATCTTCCCAGGGCCGACTCTTCCTCTGACCCCACCTCTCCCCTTCTCCATCCCACTCTTTTCTCTCTGCTGCAGCCCCGCCTCCCTGGATGCCTTCGTCTTCAGCTACCTGGCCCTGCTGCAACAGGCGAAGCTGCCCAGTGGGAAGCTGCAGGCCCACCTGCGGGGGCTGCACAATCTCTGTGCCTATTGCACCCACATCCTCAGCCTATATTTCCCCTGGGAAGGAGGTAAGGGGTGGATGGGTGGGAAGGTGGAGGTTCTAGTCCTGGGGAGAGTGGGCAGGGATCCAAGAACCAGCCTCCCACCCACCTCCTTTCCTCTCCCCTCAGCTGAGGCACCACCTCCACGCCAGACACCAGCGAACCCAGAGACTGAGGAGGAGCCGTACCGGCGCCGGAACCAGATCCTGACCGTGTTGGCGGGGCTGGCAGCTATGGCCGGCTACGCCTTGCTCAGCGGCATTGTCTCCATCCAGCGGGCACCATCTGCCCGGGCCCCAGGCACCCAGGCCCTGGGCATGGCTGAGGAGGATGAAGAGGAGTGATTTATCCTCATGCTCTCGGGACTGATTTTTCTACTGTCATGCATTCCAGAGGCTCCTGTTTCCCCATTGTTGGTATGGTGGAAATGGGGTGCCACCCCCCCGAAATAAAACTGCTCACATGGACTGAGATCAGACATTCTGTCTTTTAAGAAGCTGCCATTTTTCCTAGCTGGTACCAGGGGGGCCATCTGGTGCTTGAGTCTACCCTCTGGTGCTTGGCTTCTTTCACGGCCTGTGCCTTGGTGCTGACATCTGCATAGGCCTGGTTCTGCATCTCCAAGAAAGACAAACAGTTCCCAGTTTTTGGGTCCGGCTTTCCTCGTCTCTTCCTTTCCTTAACCTCTCTCTCCATCCACCCCACCCCCCACCCCTGTGTTTGTACAGACAGTGAGCTCACCCTGGGCCCGGGCCCAGTTTCCACAGGCAACCAGTGCATAGCACACGCTCACAGAAGCACGGGGGTGGAGGACCACTGGGGCTTCCCGATCCTTTCCCTAGGGGCCTCCAGCCCCTGGCACCAACTAGAGGGGAGAATGAGTCACCCAAACCACTGCCTCTGGGCTTACGTCACTTAAGCTCCCCCTGGTCCTGCTGTACCCTCTGTAGCCACAGACGGCATGTGGGCTGACTGTGTCCCTTTAATGTCCATGCTGAGCCCAGGCACAAGCGTGGGTATCAGCTCCATCACTGGCGACGCCACAGGTAGGTGTGAATGGAGTAGCCAGGTGAGACAATTTCCATGAAGCCCACGGCGGGATCCTTGATGGTGAGAGGCACATCCTTAGAGGAGCTGGAAGAGGCAGGGAGGAGAAGCGGAGTGTGTGATCCCGCCAAGCTCACTGTCTCGTCTTCATCCCAGTCCCCAGGCCCCCAGCCCCGCTGCTCTCACCGGTTCAGCACGACCACAACTGCAGCACCGTCAGGACGTAACAGTGCCACCGTGTCCAAGTCACTCTTCTCACTGGCAACCAGCCCCACTCTCTGTGAGCCCTCAGGGATGAACTTGCTGGAGTGGGAACAGGCATTGTCAGGGACCCCAGCCCTGAGGGTAGCTTCCATCAGTCTCCCACTTGAGAAGTCACCTTCCCTACCATCTACACCACCCTGTCCACCCCCACACCGGCCCCCAGAACCATTCCTAAGATCTGCCCTAACTCTCCAGGCCTCCAGCCATGCAGTTAGGTATGCCCTGCCCTCCTGCCTCCTAGCCTCAGCATCAGGCATTCAGGAATTGTCTGTCTCAAATGCCATCTAGTCACTTCCTACCTATACGGTGCCAAAGGGACAGATGCGAGCCTCCCAAGGTTCCCACTCTCCACACCTTCCTGCTCCCTCACAGTGGATGATACAAGCCCAATGCAGGAGATGCTAGGCCTGGCATGGAGTGGGAGTGCCCACCTTCCACTCACCTGAAGTGGCCAAGGTGGTAAAACATAGGCTGTTTGTAAAATGTGTCCTTGGCGATATCCACAATGATGGGGCTATCAACAAAGTTGCGCACCCAGTTGGGTCCCCCTTCAGGATTTAGGGCGAGGTTCCAGTCAGTCCAGCCGACCACATGGTAGAGCAGGTTCTAGGGTAGGAACAGGGCAGAGACAGAGGTTCCACACTGGGCCCCCAGTGAATACAGTGAAGTGTCACATGAGGGAGATGGGCTGTGGGGCCTCTGCCCTGGGAGGGGAGTGTTTTATATCCTTAACATCTAAGGAGGGGACTTCCCTGGTAGTCCAGTGGTTAAGTATCCTGCCAATGTACGGGACACAGGTTCCATCCTTGATCCAGGAAGATTCCACATGCCGTGGGGCAACTAAGCCCATGCACCACAACTACTGAAGCTGGCATGCCTAGAGCCTGTGCTCCACAACAAGAAAAGCCACTGCAATGAGAAGCCTGTGCACAAAGGCTAGAGGGTAGCCTTTGCTTGCAACAATGAGAGAAAGCCCGAGAGGCAACGAGGACCCAGCACAGCCAAAAACTAAAAATCTAAGGAGGGAGGGGTTTTGAGGACAGAGGCATCACCAGAGAAACTGAGAAATCTGAGGCAGATACAACTGCTCAAGCATTCAGAACAAGATGACGGGGTGCACAGATCTCTGAAGGGAAGACATCATGAAATCCCCAAACTTTGCTCCAAAGAGTAAGCGAGCTGGGGAAAAGCTGGAGAGCAGGGCCCCTATCAGCCTCTGGTGAGATTAGTGAGGGGTCCAAGGTGGTCTGCTGTGTGGAAGGAGAGACTGAGGTGGCTCACTGTGATGATACTGTGACTGTACTGCATCCCTCGATCCCAGGAGCCCAGCCGCACGCTCTGCTCCCAGAACTTGGAGCCCACACAGGCCTCTGAGGCAAAGAGCATGGTGTTGGGGAACAGGCGGTGCGTCTCCCCCAGGGTGGCTTTTGCTGGAGCCAGGAAGTCCAGGTACCAATGCACAGCGATGCCATGAACATACTTAGCTGCTTCTGGGTCTGCCAGCACCTGTACAGAGAAAGGGAAGGGCTACTGGGGAGACACAGCCATGGAGCCTGGGCCCTACACAAGGGATCTGGAAGAGGCACTAGAACCTGAGAGGTGGGTGCAGGATGAACAAAACTTAGAGGGGGTTAAAGTGATAACCTGGGAGATTCTTGGGGCTCTGGAGATCCAGAGGGGGGTCACCCCCAGCATCCCAGGAGTGCCATCTGAGCACCTGGCCCCAGCCAGGATACTCTAGGAATCAAAAGTTGGGGCAGGGAAGGCACTCTGTTCAGGAGCTAATCATCTGGATGCTGGATTTGGGGTCGCTAGGGTACTAAGGGCTTCCCAGGTGGCTCAGTGGTAAAGAATCTGCCTGCCAAGAAGGAGATATAGGTTCAATCCCTGGGTCGGGAAGATCCCTTGGGGAAGGAAATGGCAACTCACTCTGGTGTTCTTGCCTGGGAAATCCCATGGGCAGAGGAGCCTGGAGGGCTATAGTCCACAGGGTCAAAAAAGAGTCAGTCACAACTGAGCATCCAAACAACCAGGTACCCACGGGAGTCCTGGGCCTTACCACCTGGGCCCAGCGAGGCAACAGCAAGCGCTGGTCATCCAGCATGAACAGTCGGACGTCGCGGTGTGTACTGTTGGCGAGGATGGGACCCAGGTCACGGGCAATGAAGTCTCGCTGGTGCTCAGGAGTGAAACCCAAGCACTGGAAGGGGTACCCGCTAAGCAGCCCTGCAGTAGGCTCGTTCTCGGCTGTCACTGCCCAGAACCGTAACTTGTGCTCGGCGTAGGCATCCAGGAACCTGGCAAGAGAAAGGGGGTGAGGGATCACAGCCAAGAAAGGGGACCAGGACCCTGGGGACTAGGAGGTCGGACTGAATGAGGAAAACTGAGGGGCCTAAGCCTGAAAGGCCAGAAGGTAGAAAGGTGATCTGAGATCTGGCAGCCGAACAGGTCAAGGGTTGGGACGCAGACCAGGGTGTTTGAGAGGGGAGGCTGGTCCAGACCCGATGGCCCTGCTGTTTCCTTACTTGACAAAGTATCTGGCCCAGGTCTTGTGGTAGAGATTCCCTGGCTGGCCCTTGAGTGTCCCCTTCCCATTCACGGCCCCATTGGTCTTGAGCCAAGTGGGTGATGTCCAGGGACTGGCAAAGAGTGAGACAGAGCGGTTGGCCAATTCCAGAGCTTGGTGAATCAGTGGTATCTGGAAACAAAGGAGGTGAGGAGAGACACCCAGAGTTGGAAGATAAACAGACTGGCCCAACCAGTGTATCTGGCCTAGCCATCAGCCTCTACCCTTCCATCCCAAGCGAGGGCAGGGGCAAGTTCTATGTCTCTCTGCAAACTGCTCCAGCCTAAGGCCCCTCAACCACCAGGCATCAATGCTGCTGGGGCCTGAGGCAGCCAGAGTGCCCACCTTGAGCTTGACATCTTCCTCTGGAAGGCTGAAGTTGAGCAACTGGAAGTCATCAGGGCTGTCGTCATAGGTATAGGTGCGGATGGAGAAGTCACAGCTGGCCATGGGGACCCGGATGATGTTGTATTCAATTCCTGCAGAAATTCCTGAGTCAGGGCCAAAGGGAACTTGGGTACAGGGTAAAGGGCAGACTATCTGAGCTGGAGGCCCCTCGCACTCAGCGGATGGATAGGACAATTTTTCCCCCCTGGGCATTAACAGAGACCCAAATGTCAGGGATGGGTGGATGTCAGGGTCAAAGGAAACGTCAGAGTGTCAACTGCATTATGCCATCCTGTCCCTTTCCTCCTCACCTTCTTCAGAGAAGTACGATTTGAGTAGCAGATTCCGTGCAGCAGGTGACAGGGCAAGGATGTTGAGGGCAGCAGCATCTGTCATGGCCCCTCCAAATCCCTTCACTTTCTGGAACTTCTGATCTGGCTGCAGGGTCAACAGCAACCCTGGGGACATCCGCAGGGAATAAAAGCCGTCAGTGCACAGAGGAGAAACTCCATGCTAATCGCTGGCACGACTGGGCTCCAGAAGGACCATAGCCTGGGTGAGGGGTGGTTACCTGTGCCTGTGCGATTGGCCTGGAAGGTCCCCAGACTCAGCTCCATTCGGCGCCCGCTGCGTGTGCTCTCAAAGCGGCTGAAGTTGCCAGGGTCAGGCAGGGTCAAGGGGTCAAGAGAATCACAGTATGTAGCATTGCAGACACACACCACAGAGCTGTAGCCAAAGCTTTTAGGGCTGCAGGGGCAGGCACCTGGCAGGAAGGGAGCACACGAGAGTCAAGGGCTGAAGGATGAGGATGAGGAGAAGGGACATACTAGTTGCAAAGAAAGACTAAATACTGGTTTCAAAAATTCTTGGGCCTCCCTGGCAGTCCAGTGGCTAAGAGTCTGAGCTCCCAATGCAAGGGGCAGGGGTTTGATCCCTGGTCAGGAAACTAGATCCCACATGCCACAACAAAGACCCAACTCAGACAAGTAAATAATAAATAAATATTTTAAAGAATTATCTTGCTGTACCCCCACCCCACTGGTGCTCTCAGTCATACAAAAGGATTCACTGAGCATCTACTTAAGTCCACCACCAGTGTGCCGGAGACTGCCAAAGACCATGTGACAGAAGGGGGCCTGGGGGCTCCTTCCCTTCTCTCTGACTCACTTACCTGATACCCACGACACTGTGTGAAGCAGAAGTAATCCCATGAGGCTGGCAGCCATGATTTCTGCTCTGCCCCGAGACATAGGACACTCCTGAGAACACAATGAGGAGAGGCTAGAAGGCAAGCCCCTCTCCACCTCTCCCCTACTCTCCTGCAGAACTTGACTGCCTATAGGCTCCCACCTTAAACAGAATGGAACACAGCCCACAGACACCTGAATCCAGCCCTCCCTCCAAGCTCTCTGCTAGTAATAGCTCTCTGCCCACCCCAAGCAGGACCCTCCTGCGCCCCTCTTCCCAACCATTTCTCCTTCGATCCCACCTTCCCTCCATCAAAAAGGCATGATGACCTGCTTCAAGGAGAGCCTGTCATTGATTGAATTCCAGAGCCCGGTTAGCCAGAATTCCAGAAAGTACATGACAAGACCAATTAGAAGCCTTGTCCCCACTCACCTCTCTGGAAGGACTTGAAAGCTCCAACACCAGGCAAGAAGACTTTGGGGTTCCCAAACTTCGGAGGGATAGGGGATCAACTAAAAACAGGGATGCAGGGGCCTGTGATAGCTACACACACCAGATTAGCTCTGCGGGTTAATTCCGGCATAATGGAGCGAGTCACGTGAGACCATGGGAGTGTCACATGACCCAGGAAGTGAGGCAACTGCAACCATACTTGTAAAGGGCGACTGACTGGCTTCCTGAGGGCTTATACATCCTATGAAATTCTAGAAGGCATGTATGGATGACAGCTTTAGGAAGAATCTAGATGAAAGATCTGAAGGAAGGATTGGGTAGAGGTTCCCGAATCCCAAAGGATGGGAACCACAGCAGGCACACTGCCTTCTTAAGGAAAATATTTTAAAGTTATGCTGAGAATGGTTAATACTAATAAAAGAGGATCATGATAAAAAAATACTGAGGCCAAAATCCTGAGCGATGATTAAGCAATCTTTGCCCTATAGAGGCTCATAAGCAGAGGAGTCAGACACACAGATGCTTATAGATAAGAACAAAATTGGTAACAGCTGTGCACGGAGACCCTTCATACAGGGCTTCATGGAGAAGGGGTTAGGGATAAGGAGTATTACCAGAGAAGTGCAAGGAGGATGGGCCCTAAGCAGAGGGCTGGTACCTCCCCAGGCCTCTCTTGTTTCATCAGCAGATACAGATTGAGAAGGAACTGTTTTTCCTTTCTCACAGGGCAGAGAGGTTGTGTAAAGCAGTTCAGAAACTGGAAAGTGTGGTACAAAGCTGTATCCTCAGTGGATGTGAGAAGGAGCTTGTGTTGCCTCATGGGCCACATCACAGATTTAGTGGGAGTGACATACACATTTAAGACCTGACTGACCCTAGCTTCCTGAGCCTACTTCCTCATCAGTTAAATCTCCCCATCTGTTAAATGCCACCACCTCACAAGGTCATTACTACAATCAGTAAGATAAGCACAGTGCCTGGTACACAATAGACCCTCGGGAACCACTTGTCTTTTTTTTTTGTTTTAATTATCTCAGTGAAGTATTTCCAAGTAAACTCCAGGGAAAATTGACCATTTCTTCTTCTAGGTTCCCATAACCCTAGAGGAGCTACGTGTGTATGTGTGCTTAATCACTCAGTCGTGTCCGAATCTTCACGACTCCATGGCTGTAGCCTGTCAGGAACTATAGTCTCGGTGAGAGGAGCTTGGTCTGAATCTTGGCTCTACTATTTACTGGCTGTTTGACCTTCAATAAACAGGAAGGACTGATGCTGAAGCTGAAGCTCCAATACTTTGGCCACCTGATGTGAACAGCCAACTCACTGAAAAAGACCCTCATGCCGGTAAAGGCTGAAGGCAAAAGGAGAAGAGGACAGCAGAGGATGAGATGGTTGGATGGCATCACCGATTCAATGGACACGAACTTGAGCGAACTCTGGGAGATGGTGAGGGACAGAGAGGCCTGGCCTGCTGCAGTCCACGGGGTGGCCAAGAGTCAGACATGACTTGGTGGCTGAACAACAAACGACTTAATCACTCTAATCCTCTGTTTCTCATCTATAAAAGGGAAGTGATAACTCCCATGACAAAGAATTGTTGTGAAGTGTCAGTATGATAACGCCTACCACACTGCTAAGTCACTTCAGTCTTTGTGACCCCATAGTTTGTATCCTGCCAGTCTCCTCTGTCCATGGGATTTTTCTAGGCAAAGTTGCCATTTCCTCCTCCAGAAGATCTTCCTGACCCAGGGATCGAACCCTCGTCTCTTATGTCTCCTGCATTGGCAGGCAGGTTCTTTATGACTGGGAAGCCCAAAAAGGGCATGTTGCCTTCCCGTGGGGAATTGAACCCGGTCTCCCAGGTGACAGGCAGGGGCTCACCCCTATGCTAATGAAAACTGGTACCAAATACTACAACAAGGTAGGGCTGAGTTTACATAAGGAGCCTGGAATTCCACAAATGAGTTCTTACTCATTCAAGCAGAAGGTCTGGCTTCTGGGTAGGTGCCAAATTGTTCTGTTTAATTGAACCACCATCGTGATGTCAAATCTGCCCCATTCAGACTTCCTGTTTCTCAAGGAAATGCTGCACATGACTTGTTCTGGGGAGGAGAGCAGGTGACATCCAATATCTTACTTCCCTTGAGCTCACTTGTTCCACCAATATTTACTAAGCACATACTATGTTTGCCCTTACCTGCTCTGCTGGCTCTAAAGTCCCTCTCTCTTGCCTGTTTCCCTTTGCAGGCAAAGACTTTGTTGAGTCTTTTGTTTCATTTCTATCAAGGTGGTTTGCCCTTGAGGCTTTTGTATTTTATCTTCTTAATAAAGTTGGTTATTATAAGGCTTAATATTTATTGAGTACTTATTCTATGCTGCTTTATGTTCATTGTCTCATTTCATTCTCATGAAGCAGATACTAATTTTTTTCCCTACTCTAGAGATGAGGAACTTAAGACTCTAAATGGTCATGAAATTGCCCAAAGTCCCTTGACTACTCAGTGGTGGGACCTGGATTTGTAATAAGGGGCGGGGCATGGGACCCTATGTTTGCCAATTCTCAACTGGGCAGCAGTCCTCAAGGCAGAGAGTGGGTGAGAGGTGAGAGGCCTTCTCTTAGGGGCCGGCGAGCGTGCTGGGGGGTCTAGGGACAGGCTGAGGGCTGCGTCCTGCAGAGCTCCAGAGCTCCATGGCACTGCCATTAAGTGCCATGCACTTAATAAAGCTTCAACCAGCTTCAGTCTCTCCGTTCACATTTCAAAAACTGATAGAGCTGAGATCAGCTGTCTACCCCCTAGGAGGTGGCAGAGGTCAGGGTTAAGCTGCAATGATACTGCCCATCACGACTTCAGGTCCACCTCTGTGGTTGGAGCTTTTCTCAAAGAAGGGCAACTGCTGTGAGCTGGAAACTAACCTGATGGGCATTTGCTACAACACGTATTCCCACTGATCCTACACAAACGATTTGCTCTGGTTTAAATGAAAAGCCCGGGAGCTGGCTGGGTCCTGGGCGCCTGGCTCCCTCAGTGACAACGGCTGGGCAGGCTCTGGGAACCGGCCCTGGAGTGCCCCACCAGCTAAGATCTGCCTCTTCAGCAGGGCCTAGGCACTGGTGCAAGGACACAGCCTAGGTGCTGGACCAGTGCTCCCAGGCAGAGAAAGGGGCCTGCGCAGGGTCCCCTCCTCTTAGCCTGGGTGGAAGTTGAGCCTTAGCACTTTGCCCTTTGTCAGAACAGAGAATAATATTTGCTCTGGTGGAGGTTTACAGCAACAAGATGACCTGACTATGACCTGACCTTAAGAACAAATGATCTGACACCAAGATGTCTGCAACAACTAACCACGACTCCCCACCCTTCCCTATAAAAGGGCTTGGCTGAAAGCTTTCTGGGAGTTGGGGGTTTTTAAGGCATAAGCAACTTTGCATGGCCCTGCAGTAAACCTCTCTTTGCTCCAAACTCTGACGTTTTGGTCTTGTCTGGCCTCACTTGCTCTGAGCACACAGACTTGCGTTTGATAACAGATTCATACCCAGAGTCCGATGACACACATCACACCTGGAGGTGAGTGCCTCCTGGTGTGCCAAATGCTACGTTAGCTGCTGGTTATTTTCAAAAGCTGCTGTGCTGGTCGGCAGTGTTGCTTTGTATTGTTTTAAAATTGTCCCGTGTTTTCCACGGTGTGTTCTATCTGGTAAAAATGAAGCCCAAGTTGGCTTCCAAAGTGCTGGCTACGTGGCACCACTTCTGGATCTGTATTCTTCAAAGGCATTGGTCAGGGGATAACTGGTCGATAAAGAAACAGAATCCAGGATTCCCAGGTTGAGCAAGCTGGATTGGTTTTCAGTTGGGGAGGGGCAGATCTGCCTCCGTTCCTGAGCCTCACTATCACGGGAAATCTCAGCCCAATAGCCTGAACACCCCTTTTTCATAACAAGTATTCCTCACATACTCTGCTATCCTGAAATAAAGGTATAGATACTATGACTTACCTACACACATAATTTAAGAGACTAAATATTGTTACCTTAATTGGAATATAAAGGAAAGATAATGGGACCTTTTTTTTTATAAGAAAATATGTTTTCAATAAATAAATGCTTAGGAAGGATTATCTACAAGATATTCTAGAACAGTCAGATATGTACTAACCTAAATGTAATAAATTAGGATTTAACAGAAGGAAAAACAGCCCATGAATTAATAATTTCAGTGTGTAATTTTCATGTAATTTTTTTAAAATGTAATTACTATTATGCTGTAAAAATATAAAATAAATGATAAATAAAAATGCTTGAAAGTCAGTCTTTATGAATAAGATTCAATGCATTCCACAAGTCTTCACAAATTTACTATTTGATTCTAAGCCTTAGCAATTCAGTAAGGAATTTCTTTTCAACAAATGGTGCTGACTTGACTGGATATCATGTGCAAAAAAGATAAACTTAGACCCTTACCTCACTCCATAGTCAAAAATCAAAGCAAAATGAATCACAGACTTAAATATAAGAGCTAAAACTGTAACATTTCTGGAATAAGGAAGATTAGCCAGTGGTTTCTTTTTCTTTGTTTTAGGCAACAATAAACATTTGTTATCTCACAGTTTCTGTGGGAAAGGAATGCAGGAGTGGCTTATCTGGATGGTTCACACTTGAGGTTTCTCAAAAGATGATTGCCAAGACATGGGTCAGGGCTGCTGTCATCTGAAGTAGGCTTGACTGGGCTGAGACTCTGCTTCCAAGTTAAGTGAAAGTGAAAGTGTTAGTCACTCAGTCCTGTGGAGTCTTTGAAATCCCATGGACTGTAGCACACCAGGCTCCTCGGTCCATGGGATTCTCCAGGCAAGAATATTAAGAGTGAATTGCCATTCCCTTCTCCAGGGGATCTTCCCGACCCAGGGATCGAACCCGGGTCTCCCACATGGCAGGCTGTAAACTGTCTGCATCACCAGGGAAGCCTAACACACATTCATCACCTAACATAAGTGATACACTGGGGCTGGCTGTTGGCAGAAGACCTCAGTCTCCCACCATGTGGAATAATTCATAGGGCTGCTTGAG